CCCGCCCCTGCACCCCCAGCCCCACCAGATCCAACCTGCCCCCCCACCCTACCCCTGCACCTCCAGCCCCACCAGACCCCACCAGGCCCCCCGCCGTGCCCCTGCGCCCCCGGCCTCACCCACCAGTGCCTGACTTGACACCTGTAGCTCCGCTCTGGCTGCGGATGGGCACAGAGGCTCACGGCTCCACCCTGCCACCAGGTTACCAGGGCACAGAGGCCCCTCCCGCGGAAGCAGGCGCACCCCCAACCCCACCCTGTCTCTCAAAACAAAGTCCAGAGGAGGGAGAAAGGCGACACCAGGCTGGGCGGAGGGCGGGCGCGGTGCCCACTGCAGGCTGCCCCTTGGCCAGGGCCCCCGCTCCAGAGCCGAGCAGTAGGTCCCCCCCAGGCCCTCGGCCGCCCAGTCTCCCCACCAGCCCTGCGAGCGCCCTCCTGCCCCTTGCCCTGGGGTCCTCAGGACACACCGCCCACCCTCCCACCCTGGTCCTGACGTGGCCCAGGGCACACCACGCCACCCGCCCTCCCATCCCCAGCTGTGGACAGGGGCTGGCATCGTCCAGGCCACCGCGGCCTGGTTGTAGGCCCTCAGCCAGCAAATCCCCATGCCACTTTCCCGGCCCAACCCTGGGGCTTCCTCCCCCACAGGACTCTGGAGGGTCCCATGGGGCCTTGGTTCAAGCCCCCACCACGCTCTCTGAGCCTTGACCTCTCCTCCAGGAGGAGGCCTAAGTGGCAGGCCAGGCCCTTCGAGAAGACACTGAGGCCTGGGCCTCTCCCTGCCCTCCCTGGTCTTAGAGAAAACCCACCTTCTGGGGGAGGCTGGGCCACTGTGGGGGACATAGCAGAAGAAGAGGCTGACCTTAGCCCTCCAGGCCTGCCCTCCCCTGGCTGTGGGCTCCTCTGAACCACACTCTTCTTCCTGTGCGTGGCCCGGGCTGCGAACCTGGCAGGTGGGTGGGGCCCCAGAGGTGCACCAGGCCTGGGCTGCTGAAGAGGCAGGGGCTGCCTGGCCGGCCCCTCCCGGCACCCCTGTGCAGGTCCGAGTCCGCACAGAAGTGGAAACTGAGGCCCTGCCCCACAAGCACGCCACCCCTCACCGCCCCCTGGGGAAGCCGGTGCGACCTCCCCCAGCCCACCCCCCACCCCGGGTCCTCCGCAGGGCGTGGGGGTGTCTGCGGGTCCCTTCCATCTCCCAAGAGGTGGAGAAGCCGGCCCACAGAACCAGGGAAGGGGTGCCGTGGCCTTACCTGGCCCAGGGGACGGCTCCGCCACACCCACCCCACACAGGTGAGCCTGGGCTCGGCAGGCCCCAGCAGAGAAGGCAGCTCCCCGGGCACACGGCGCCTCGTTTTATGGCTCAGCCGCCTCGGCGCCCCGCCCCGCGCCACACCCTCCTGCCCAGGAGAAACCCATGAACCCAGGAGCCCGGGCTGTTCACGCTTTTATTTGCTTCTCTGGGAAATCAAGAACACCGGGGCCTGGGCACATCAAAAGCAGAAGGGGCAGCAAGGGCACTTCAGCCAAGGCTCAGGGCTCGAGGGACCTGGGCAGGTGTGGGGGCGGGGGTGGGGTCCTGCCACACGGCCCAGATTACCCCAGAGCCCAGGCGGAGCCCCAGGCTCCCATCCACAGTGGTCCCACACCCACCCTGCTGAGGCTGCAGGTGGTGGATGGGCCTAGAGTGGCCTGGACATGGGGCATCGGGCTGGAAGTCCCACAAGAGGGGCCTGGATGAGGCCTGGTCGTCCAAAACCAACACAGGAGAGAGGGCACCTGTGAGAATGTGCACGAATGTGCCTCTGGGGACGAGTGTGGCTGCCTCTGAGAAGGACACCCTCACCACATCCAGTGAGAGGCCGGGGCAGGCTCATGCCAGGCTGGGTGGCGAATGGGGAGCTCATGCTCCAACCCAAGCGGACCCTCGCTGCCCCAAGCTGAGCCCCTTCCTCCACTTCTCAGAAATGCTCCAAGCCCAGTGGAGATGGCAGGAGGGGCCTGCTCTCTGGGGTGTGGTTGGGGACCCAAGATCCTGGTCCAAGCAGGCTGGGAAAGAGGCTAGGCTGGCCTCTGGGGTCCCCGAATTAGCACCAGGAGGAAGGAGGGGCCGTGGGGGAGGAGCTCGGGACCAGCAATGGCTGGCGTGGCCCCTGCTGGGCGCAAGGGCAGCTCCGGGTCCCCGCTGCCCGCCAGGTCTGGGAGGAAGCCCGGGGCGACAGGCCCCCTGGGCAGGGCACATGTCCCAGGACCATCCCCCAAGCTCCACTGTCCACTGGCCAGGCCCACAGAAAGTGGGGGCACATCAGGCTGGGGGGTCCAAAGGGGGCCATCCTCTGTTCCAAAACCTCGAGCCCAACAGAAGCATGGCCTCACCCCAACTGCCTGAGAGGGCGCCAGTGCCTCGGCCAGGGAAACCCTGGAGCCCCACTTCCCAGGCCTGAGCAGACCCAGGGGCCCCCGACTCCCCGGGTCCCTCGCCAGAAGGGCATCCCCTCAAGACTCATCGGAAGTTGCAGGAAGGCACAGGCAGGTGGCCCAGAGGTGGCACGCTGGCCTGGGGCCACATGGAGGCCGTGGGTCACACCAGCCAGGACCGCGGCAGGCGCAAGCCCGTCTGTGGAGCTGCCGCAGTGTGTGGGGGGTCCTCGGGTCTCCAGGCCTCTCCTACCAGGTGAAGGTGCACGGCTCAGTGTTTTGGGGTGCATGTTAGGACGTGGTAACAGGCGGGGACCCTGTCCCTGTCTCCCGTGGAAGAACGCTCGGGAGGGACAGGTGCGACTCCGTGTCCTGGGGCCCGTGAGGCTGTGGGTGGAGGGCGGGCGGGCCCTGGGGGCCGGGCTGGTGGGTGTCTGTGGTACGGAGCCTCTCCGCCGTGGAGCCCGCGGCGGGGGGCTCGGCAGCACTGCCGTTGGGCGGCGCGGGCTCCTTGGGCTCAGCCGCATCTTCGATGACCACCAGCTCCGCCGTGATGGTGTCTTGAAGCCCCAGCACCTTCTTGGTCTCGGCCTCGTCCTCCACGCTCTGGTAGCCCATGAAGATCATAGTGACGGGGGGCTCCTGGCCGGGCTGGATGCCTGGGGGCCCCGACGTGGCCTCCCCCGGCTGTGCCTGCACGCCAGTGATCCCGCGCCGTGAGGGCGTGATCCGGATGGCCTCCTCCACGGCCCCCCGCGGCTCGGCGGCCCCGGCTGTGGACCCTGCCTCGCTGAGCGTCACCTCATCCGCTTTGTGGATGAGCTCGTCCACTTCGGAGGAGCTCAGCGGGTGGATCCCGTTCTCGGCGGTGCCATCCACGGCGTGGACCACTGTGCGGGGGAGACAGGAAGTGAGCAGGCTCTGGGTAGAAGGAAGCCTAGAAGGCTTGCCCGGGTGCTACAGGGGAGGCCAAGCCAGATGACACGTGCAGGACCGTTGGTACCTGCAGGTGCAGCCAAGACGGCACACAGAGGACAATTCGTGTGTGCAGCAGCGTATTAAGAACCAAGACAGACTGGGGGTGAATGAGTTGAGGTTTCACTGTCTTCATTTTGAATCTCCATATTCTTTGGCCAACTGGCTCCCACACAATCACCTTCCAAGGTAAGTTTGCTTTTCCATTGTGAATATGGCAAGAGATAAAAGTCCAGAGAAAGAAGGCAAGTACCCTGAGGTCAAGCCAGCCAGGGCCAGAGCCCAAGCCAGTTCTAGCTCCTTCTATGCCGCGGACCTCCCACCCTGGAAAGTCCAAGGTTACAGGGATTCTAACTTCTATGTCTGCATTTACTTACTGACCTCGAGTTAAGTTTTCTTTCATTCCACCCAGCCTTGTTTTCTTTTTTGTGGGGAGGTTTTTGCTGCAGGGCGCGTGTGCTCACCAGAAAGACAGAGTGAGACAGAGAGACAGAAAGCAAGAAATCACCCCCCAGGGGGATGGCCACGCTGCAATCCCTTCTCCATTCTCCCCTTGTGATCTTGGGCACACACATGCGCCCAGCGTGAGTTTAAGCCACTGGGTCCAGGACTCAAACCACGGTCGACTCCATGAGTCCAGCGACATAGCCATTATGCCAACTGCTGGTTCTTTTTTTTTTTTTTTTCACCCAGCCTTTTGTTTTCCAGTAAGTGCCCTGAAGGCCACGCATAGTCCCGACTTCTGCCCTGGCTCCGTCCCACGAGGTCACTATACGGATCTCTTTCAAGTACAAACAGTTGGTGATTCCTTCACAGTTTTTTTTAAAAGAGATACTTTTTTTTTTTTTTTTTTGGAGAGGTTTTTTGCTATAGGGCGTGTGCACTTGCCAGACAGACAGAGAGAGACATAGAGACAGAAAGCGAGAAATCACCCCCCGGGAGGATGGTCATGCTGCAATCCCTTCTCCTCCATTCTCCTCCTGGGATCTTGGGCACACACGCACACGCACCTGGTGTGAGTTTTAAGCCACCAGCTCTGGGACACGAACTGCAGTCGACTACGTGGGAGCCCAGCGACATAGCCATTACGCTAACTGCTGGTTCCCGAGATACTTTTGATATAGGGCGTGTGTGCTTGCGGGAGACAGACAGAAAGTGACAAGTCACTCCCTGGGGCATGGCCACGCCACAATCCCTTCTCCTCTGTTCTCCTCTCAGGATTTTGGGCACGCACGCACACGCGCCCGGCGTGTTTTCTAAGCTGCTGGGCCCGGGGCTCGAGCCATGCAGTCGGCCATGTGGGATCCTGCGCCTTAACCTCCTTGCCACCTAAGCCCTAAGCCAAGGTCTGTTTAGAAGGACGTCTGAGTTAGGGCACAGGGACAGGAGTGCCATTGTAACCCTCACGCCTGTCCTCAAGACCCTGTGCAGCCAGGCCCGGCTCTGTGATGGGGATGCCCAGCATGTATGGAGCGTGTGGGGCCTCACGTGCCCCCTCAGCTGTGCCTGCCCTGGCCTGCCCGCTGCGAACCCCGCTGACGTCTCTGAGGCCAGGTTTCGGCACCCAGGTGTCCCGGGCAGTCTGAGACCAGCTTCCGACCACAGCCCTGGGTCTTCCCTAGAAATCCTGCCCAGACTGCTGGGGGCGGACAGTGGTGGCCCCAGGGACCGGGACGGGCTCCTCCTGGCCACAGGCGAGGCCCCGTCTCTGCCTGCCAGAGGGAAGGTGCTCTTCCTGTCCAGGAGCTGGGCCTCAAGGAGCTGGGCCTCAAGGAGCTGGGCCTCAAGGAGCTGGGCCTCAAGGAGCTGGGCCTCAAGGAGCTGGGCCTCAAGGAGCTGGGCCTCAAGGAGCTGGGCCTCAAGGAGCTGGGCCTCAAGGAGCTGGGCCTCAAGGAGCTGGGCCTCAAGGAGCTGGGCCTCAAGGAGCTGGGCCTCAAGGAGCTGGGCCTCAAGGAGCTGGGCCTCAAGGAGCTGGGCCTCAAGGAGCTGGGCCTCAAGGAGCTGGGCCTCAAGGAGCTGGGCCTCAAGGAGCTGGGCCTCAAGGAGCTGGGCCTCAAGGAGCTGGGCCTCAAGGAGCTGGGCCTCAAGGAGCTGGGCCTCAAGGAGCTGGGCCTCAAGGAGCTGGGCCTCAAGGAGCTGGGCCTCAAGGAGCTGGGCCTCAAGGAGCTGGGCCTCAAGGAGCTGGGCCTCAAGGAGCTGGGCCTCAAGGAGCTGGGCCTCAAGGAGCTGGGCCTCAAGGAGCTGGGCCTCAAGGAGCTGGGCCTCAAGGAGCTGGGCCTCAAGGAGCTGGGCCTCAAGGAGCTGGGCCTCAAGGAGCTGGGCCTCAAGGAGCTGGGCCTCAAGGAGCTGGGCCTCAAGGAGCTGGGCCTCAAGGAGCTGGGCCTCAAGGAGCTGGGCCTCAAGGAGCTGGGCCTCAAGGAGCTGGGCCTCAAGGAGCTGGGCCTCAAGGAGCTGGGCCTCAAGGAGCTGGGCCTCAAGGAGCTGGGCCTCAAGGAGCTGGGCCTCAAGGAGCTGGGCCTCAAGGAGCTGGGCCTCAAGGAGCTGGGCCTCAAGGAGCTGGGCCTCAAGGAGCTGGGCCTCAAGGAGCTGGGCCTCAAGGAGCTGGGCCTCAAGGAGCTGGGCCTCAAGGAGCTGGGCCTCAAGGAGCTGGGCCTCAAGGCCTCCCAGTCACACGGGCTGGGGCCCGGCGGGGGAGTGCCCAGGTCACGGGGGACCAGGCCCGGTGCCTCCTCTGGCCACAGCCCCAAGTCAGGAATCTGAGCTCTCTGCTGCCATGGAAACGGAGCACCTGCCTGTTGCTAGGCAACCAGGGTCCGGCATGGCAGGCCCTGAATCCCCACAGGACTGGGGGGGGGTCGAGGGCCACGAGCAGTCACTCTTGTCCAGGACAACATGGCCGGTGTGCACCGGGGTTGGGTTCAACCAGGTCGTGGGCAGCATGAGGTGACACTTCACAGCCACGGGGCCGGCAGTGCTGACGGTGGCTTCTGGGGACAGGGACAGGCCGGTGGTTATCACGTGGGAACACGGCCAGGGTGGGCAGGTCCTGGCAGTCCACGGCTCCTGCAGCCTGGTTCGGCCGAAAAGGGCCGTGGGGTCCCGGGAGTTGAGGTGGGGGCGCGCTGTGCAGGGTCCGGGTCCCCCGTGTGCGGGTGCCCCGCCCAACAGAACCCGCTGCGCCCAGCCAGCCTGGGCCTGCGCACGCGTGCAGGGCAAGGACCAC